AAAAAAAATAGTAATGTCACAGTATTAAAAATGTAAAAAGAATAAATACAGTGAAAAACTACCAAACTTGAGAAGAATAAACCAAGAGGTCAGGAAGTGTGTGTGTGGGGTACCATATAGAAAGGCACGATGAAGATTAAAAATGACACTCAAATTAAATTCAAATAATTCAGTGATGATTACAAAATACATATGGGCTAAAGTCACTAACCCCCACCCCAAAGATTTCATATTGGATTTGAGATAAAGACACCTACGTATATGCTACTAAAAGAGAAACACTGAAGATTAACAGAGGTTGCTCACAAAGGAAGCACAAAGGCATACGGAGAAAGAATTAACCAGAAGACATACTACATTGACACAATACAAAGCAAATTTTAAGAAAAAAGCCCATTATGAGAAATGAGAGACTATTACAAAACTGCTCTTTAAGATCACCAGGGATTCTGTTTGTTAAGACTTGATTTGATTTTCATTATGTGTATGTGTATATGTGTATCTCTGTGTGTGAATTTGTACATGAGTGCAGTGCCCACAGAGGCTAGAGTGTGCTGGCAGATCCCCCAGAGCTAGAGTCACAGGCACTTGAGAGGTATTTGATATGGGTGTTGGGAACCAAACTTGGGTTCACCATAAGAGCAGTAGGTACTCTCAGCCACCGGGCCTTGTCTCTCACCGGAGGAATTCTAAGTGTTAATGGATACAAAAGCATAGATTATCCTCAAAAAACAAAACAGCAATGGACACACCTGCTAGGATACTCAAACTCACAACAAAGAGGTTGTGAACATAGTTGTTTGTAACTTTTTAATGGTCTCCCTTGCCAGTCCCCTCTGGGAAGTAATCTACATTCAAGGTTGTTGTTGTTGTTGTTTCCTGTTTCATTCACAGTAATATTTTAAAGCCTAGAGAAATACAATCCACAGTAGCTATCTTATACCCTTGTTGAGTGTTTGAATTAGTCAAGATGACAACAGGATAGCAACAACATAGATCATGCAATCAACAAGCATGACCCAGAAACCTGCACCTCTAACTAGTGAAGACATGCTCTCAAACATGCATGAAGTACTTACGAAAATTCAGAATGTTCCAGACCACATTCTCTGACCACAATACAATTAAGTTAGAAACAAACAACAACAAAACAGTAAAATTCTATGCATTGTGAAACGTAAAACACATTTCTGAATAACTCAAAGGGAAGAGAAAAACATGGAGAAGACTTAGTGGCAGAATTGAATGCTGATGAAAATATTATATCCAATATTTGTGGAAGCAGCTGAAGACAGTAAGGGTACACATCCAAATGAGGACTGACGAAGTAAACATGAAGAAGATATATGGCACGAAATGAAAAAGAAATTATTGAAGTAGAAAAAAAACGTACACAATAAAGAATAAAAAGTCAAAAGCTGTTTCTTTGAAAGTAACTCAAAACTCTGACAAGCGGAGTGGAAAGAGGTACAGTTTGATATTAGAGATAAAGATGCCAAATCTTAGATCCATCAGAGATGTTAAAAATAAGAAAACAGCCGGGCGGTGGTGGCGCACGCCTTTAATCCCAGTACTCGGGAGGCAGAGGCAGGCGGATCTCTATGAGTTCGAGGCCAGCCTGATCTCCAAAGCGAGTTCCAGGAAAGGCACAAAGCTAAACCAAGAAACCCTGTCTCAAAAAACCAAATAAATAAATAAATAAAAATAAAAAAATAAGAAAACAATAAGATACTTAGCACTAGCTTATTTGAAAATAAATGGACTGGAGAATTTTGTAGAGAAAGTATAATTTACATAAACTGATTCAAATAAAATATAGACGATCTCTACAGTGTGTAATCATTAAATAGCTTAAGTCAGAGTTAGCTGTCTACTTGCCAAAAACACCTTTTGATATTGGTGGTTCGTTAGCCCCAGTCCCCAGCTGAAGGGTTATGACAGTTGATAACTTGTGGGGGAAGGACAGCCAGGTATTTTTAGAAGCGAGGCCCCGGTAGGTTAATCATGCTCCAATGGATGGCCCCATATCCATTTGTATAGGGGCAGCTCAAAATAAACTTGGTGGGTTATAAAAAATTACACAAAATTGGTAAGAGGTGGGGAGATAGAGGATGGATCTGGGAGGAGTTGGGGGAGGTAATGAGGGGGAATATAATCAAAATACACTGTTCACTTATATGAAATTCTCAAACTTAATAAAAATGTCTTTTAAAAACACCTTCCAGGCTAGATGATTTTAGCAGTGACTTCCACCAAAAAGCCAATTAACAGTTAATCCCAGATTTAAACAAAATGTTCCAAAGAACAATTAGGGTTTAGTGGCATGTGATTTTATGAAGCTAAGAACTTCGCTACTCAGACCTGCCAAGGTCTGTACACAAAGGGCATTTGCTGCTCAGTCTTTCTTGTGAACATAATTGCAAACCTTCAATAAAATACTAACAATTTTAAGTCAGGAATTCATGGTACATATGTTCCGCCATGCCTCTAAGAGATCAAGAATGATTCACTGTTAGAAAACCTAACAGTGTGTTTCATCATATAAGCAGATGATAGGGCTAAAAAAGCAAGTCGTCTTGTAGGTGGAGATATTGACAAAATTAATCAGCTTGGCCTTGATTTGAGAGTGTACACAGAAACCTTAGGACTGAGGAATACAAAGAATGCTCCTCATCTGATATCAGGTATTTTTCTAAAAGGACTTAAATGTAAAACCTTTCAAATAATTCTCTTTGGAATCAGAAACAGGATAGGGACACCCACTTGTGATCAACACTGTCCTGGTAGACCTGGGCAGCACAAAACCCATTCAAAGGGCTCAAGACGTCAGAGGAGAAGGTGATGGCAAATACGCCGCTTGGGGCATCTGGGTCCTGGCAGAGGTCCCTGGGGAGTGGCAGAATTCGGTATCTTTTTGAGAATTTAATGGTTCCAGATCTCGGTTTTCTAAAACCTAGACTATTGCTTTGGTGACTCTCATACTTTCTAATACCCACAGTTGTATCTCTTTCTGTTCTAAGATCTTTAATAACTAACCCTTTGGATAGGGCATTACAATATGCTTGACTTCCGGTCTGGTAGAACTCTCACAGAGTACACAGGTATAATGACTTTGGGATCTTCACATTCTCTGAAGCCCCAAAAGAGCCCTGAACAGTTCTGAGCTCTGCCTGAGGATCATTGCTGCGCCAATGAGTCTTTCTATTCATTATCATTTTCAGTGGTATTTTTTTCTTTCACATAAGCTACTTTCAAATGACACCAAGTCCTCCAAAGGGGGGAAAATCCCACTTCAATATTTCACTGGAGAGTGGCGTTTAATTTTCTTTCCCCTTGACTCTTTAAATGGTTTGCTCTTGTGGTTTTTCCAAGTATTTTTGTATTCTGAGTCACTCTGAGCAACTGACTGGGAATTTAGGAAGAAGTCTCCTTTTGCTGTTTTGATTAACTGTGTGATTGACCCTGGGCTCGTCACTGAACCTAATCAAGTAACTTCATTTATTGCTAAATAAAGATGAAATGCAGCCAGGAAACATGGGTTAGAATTAGACCCTGCCACCTGGTGACTCACTTCTCATTAACTTACACAAATTAGATTTTTCCTGTAACATTTCCATTTGGGGGAAAATTTAGAACAAACACCCCCTTTATTGTTTTTGTTTGACTCTAGTCCATTTCCATCCGTTCATTGTTTAATTCCACTGTTGAGTTTTCGTGAACTGCCATAGCACCAAGTGATGGCTGATGGGTAGCACTAAGTCAAGCTCTGATGCTCGCTGGCAGCAAGAGAAGAGAGAATAGAGAAATGCCATGAGGAAAATGCAAGAAAGGAAAAGTCCACCGAGCGCCTGACTCAGCTCCCCCTCTGGGCTCAGCTCTGAGCTGTGTGATCTTAAGAAAGTCAAAAGAACATTGAGACTATGCTTACAAAATAGTCATCCACTACCCTCCTTTTTTTTTTTTTACCTTCTGTACAGTTGTTTCAAAACCTCCCTCCCCAGAAAAAAACAAAACAATAAAAATCCCAAAAAACAAAAACAGAAACCAAACCAAACCAAAAAATAACAACAAAATAAAACAAACAAACAACCCACAGTGAGGATTAGTAAGTTTGTAGACAAGAAGCCCAGATCAGAAGGACCATAAGATAATAAAATGCAGCTTTAAGAAATGATTTGGCAAGATTTCAGCACCTGCTGGAAAACCAGGAAGTAAAACAGAATTTGAAGATCATTCCAACTCTATGTTTTAATCTTTTGAAGCGATAACCCATAGTAGATGTTAAAAATACAAAACTAGCCTAAGTAAAACTGGTGCAGTGGAACTTGCCTGTCACTCCAACACTTGGGGGAGGTGGAGGCAGGAGGATTAGGAGTTCAAGGCCAACCTTGGCTACAGAATGAACTCCAAGCTAGCCTGAGCTACCTAAGATCCTGACTGGGGAAAAAAAAATGTGAGAGGAAAATTTTTAACCCAAAAGTGGGCTTCACTGTCTTACCTTTGTTCTGTATTAAAGAGTGCAAAGACGTGCTTGCTGGACATGAAGCCCTTCTCCACATCCCGGACTTTCAGGTTGTCCAGTGGGAGCATGTATTTCTTTTCTTTTTCCTGTTATTCAGGGGTGAGAGAGAAAGAGAGGACTTTAATAAAACATCACGCCAACGGCAAACATACCTCCTACATTGGCTACCACTTGATAATGCTTGATTACATTACCTTGACACCATCAAACACTACTTTTTACACCAGCTACCAAGGAATACAAGTTATCTGAGATGGGAGAGTCCAGGGATTCTCAACACATGGGTTGAAAGCCTGGGGTGGGGGAGGGGTACACGCGGGAAGGACTCTGAGATGGAGAGAACACATGCTCCTCTATCCTTGCCCCCTCATGTGGGTCCCTTAGATGTTTTGAAATGTTAGTTTGATATTAAGAATTTAGCCATCTGTTAATATTTAACAAAAATGTTCTGGTCCTAATTCAATGAGAAATGCCAGATGGATTTCATTTCCCATTTTCTTTGCAGCCTAAGCAGTTTTGATAGCCAGCATTGGCAGGGGAGTGTGGAAGCCCAAGGACCCTGGTATGAAATACCCCATAAACTGAGATAAAACACAGAAAACCATTCCCTCATTTGGGTCTAACTTTATGTTATGTAGGTACACAAAAGGATTCTTTTACACAACTGATAGAATTTTTTAGCTCACTGGGGAAGAAAAACCCATTAGGACTATATTCATATTAATTAACCCAAGTTCTCTTTTAAAACAGATAATTCTTTATAAAGAATATGGATATTGGAAAGGTAAGGTCTGTGAGTGTGGCCACACCATGTTGGTAAAACACACCAAATGCCAGAGTAACAAGAAACACTTTTAAAGACTGGCCCAGGGACAACGTATAAATAAATGCCTATCAACCCCTACAACAGGTAAGAGGCAAATGCACAGTATAGGAAGCCTGGTAAAAACCTATTACCAGGTCACATTAGCATCAGTTGCTAAACAGTGGTGCTCGGTATGAGGAGGAACTAGACCCTGAGTAGTGGAGCACATACTCATAGCTCTAATTCTAACGCACATCTGTGGTTGCCTGTGGGAACCAGGCCCCACACATCCATGTTTGCTGGGGACTTTGCGGCTACTCCTGCAGCACACGGGCTGCTGGAGAGCTCATGGCTCAGGAGCGCAGTCCGGGCAGTGTTGGCTTGCAGGGGATGTCACTCATCTTGCCGTTTATTCTGCTCCTAAATTAGGGAAAAGCTGAGCAGAGTACAACAGAGTGGCCCCTTCCCCCTAAAAACAAAACAAAACAAAACAAAACAAAACAAAACAAAACAAAACAAAACAAAACAAAACAAAACAAAACAAAACAAAACAAAACAAAACACGACTCCATTCTTAACTACAAAAGGACAGTGGGAAGAAAAGGCTGCAAACCTCGAAGGAAGCTGGTTGGAAAACAAAATGGCCGCCCCGGCAAACAAAGCCTTCAAAGCAATGAAAAAAGATAAAAGAAACTCAGCAGGGGGGCAGGAGGCCTAGGAAAAACATGCAGGAGCGGAGCACTGTGAGCCCATTCCAGTATTTCCTGTATAAAAGTAATAATTTATTCATAAATGCACGGATATGCTAAATAGCAAAATATATTACTCAAGTAAACGAGGTAACAGAGCTGAGTCCAACTTACTTAAAACACTTGTCAAACTATTTTAGGGCAGAATTCTAAGAGGCCGGACTAGATTCAATAAAACCCTCTCCAATACATAATCAAATGAAAATGCTTAAGACCCAGAGAACATTTTTTTTTTTTTAAATTGGATCGTTTTCAATGCCCTAAATTCAAGCAGCTGGGTTTTTTTAATGCACCATCCTATTCAACCTTTTGAAATGATGGATTGGCCTTTTTAATAGGAAATCTGCATTTCATTGTAAAGATGGAACACAATGTCCTTGGCTTGTGTTCTATAGAAGCAGGCCCCCCTTTGTACTGCATTCTTCTGAGAAGACTGACAGTCTTGAAAGTTTACATCAGCTATTCGACACTGGGGAAAACGTTCAGATGCAGACAGGGTGATGGAAAAAGTACAGTCTTCCCTCCCAAAGACAAAGAATTAAATGCCATATTTATCTAAGTTTTTTGAGGACATGGTGCTTCATTATTTCATAATCACAAGTTTTAAGACCGAAAAAGAAGACAGTTTCTTTAGACGGACTTGGGAATTAAATTGTCAGTAAAACAAAATTAAACAGAGCAGCAGCAACACCACGCAATGAAGCAATACATCATGAGTATGTCTGAAAATTCTGGTGGTTTGGGGTCCCGGTTAAACAACAACAAAAATCTTGAATCTCAAAGAGCTTAAACAAAAAGGCTAGGGAGAGAGATATAGAACTATAATTTCTAAAATGTAGTGAGACTTAGCACCATCTTAATTAAGAAACTTGCTAAGTAGCCTGTCAGTTCTAATAACCCACTGTCCAACATGATCACCACCAGCCACTGGCAGCTATGAAACTACTTGAAATGTAGCTAGTTAAATTGGGATATGTGTAAATATAAGGCAGACGCCTGATTCCAAAGATTTAGTATGAAGCAATAAGAATAAAAATTCTTTATTTGCTTGCTTATTTTTTTAAATTTATGCATATGGGTGCTCTGGATGTATGTATGTCTGTTCATCACATGCATGCCTTGGAGGCCAGATGAGGGCATCAGATCCCTGGAACTATAGTTATAGATGGTTGTGAGCCACTTTGCAGGTGCTGGAAACTAAACCTGGGTCCTCTGGAAGAGCAGACGGTGCTCTTCACTAGTGAAGCATCTCTCCAGCTCACCAGTAATAATTTTAATCAACAATCTCACTAGTGTTTTTAACAAATGAAAATTGTATGATCTCATCAATATTTTATGTTAATTTTAAGTTAAAATTATATGAATACGTTGAGGGCACTATTAAACCTAATTTCTCCTGCCTATTTTATTTTCTTTTAAAGGTACAAAGGACATGTGGCTCCCATGGGATTTCTTTTAACAGCACTCAGCCTCATGCACTCATCATCTCCTTCCTTACTCCCATTCACTCAAGCAGTCTCCCTTCCTGACAGCATATTCTTTCTTAAGCTCAGCCTTTCTGGTGTGTTTTCTTCTCTCACCTCCTTCATCACACAGCTTGAAGTTGTTTGATACTTTGCATGCTGTTCCAGGTCTCTGGTATCTATATCACCGGGTTGAGAATTTAGTTCTTTGAAGATTTCAATGGCTTTCCATTATTTATGTAAGAATATCAACTAAACACACTAATGTGATATCTTCAAACAGCTACAAATTGGCCCCATCCTAATTTATCAAAATTTCCCTCACTTTCTTGAAGAAATCTTTATTTTTAGCTCTGTGTGATGAATGTCTGTAATCCCACCATTTGGGAAGCAGAGGCATGAGTATCCGTGAAAATTTGAGATCATCCAGCTCTATACCGTGAATTCCAGGCTAACCGGGACTACATAGCAAGACCTTGTGTCAATGACCACAAATAATGACAAATTCCATCATGAAATCCGCCTTCCCCCAGACTACACAACCTAAGTTACCCTTTCAACCAAGATCATGATGTTTACAGTCCACATCAAGCCCCACTCTGTGAAGTTTTCTTAGCCGATAGCCATGTCTGTCGCCCCCCATCTCTCCTGTTTTAGTGGATACAATGGGTGTTAGTTATTCCATTCATTTCAATCTAGTATATCTTATATGAGATGCCTTCATTTTATAAGTGCAATAAAAGTTAGTGTGAAGATTCATTTAGAATTCAGACTATCCAACCTATTATACTATTCAAATGGGCTCCTTTCGCAAAGAAAAATGAAGTAGAAAATACTTTTGCTGTAAAAGGGATTTAAACTTTTGATAATATAAATGCCATTATTGTGTATGCATTTTGAGGTAGAAGCATATATAAAATTCTAGAGATTTATTTAATGCCATTCTTAAAGGAACTTGTTGCATATTTTCAAAAGCTTCTGGGACCTGTCATTTTGGTGACATCATTCTTTTCTTCATACTTAAAGAGTACTCTTTTCTTATCTCAATACAAGAAGATCGCTGGCACTATTTACATGTGGTATCCTGGATGAGAGAGATGATTTGTTCAAAGAGAAAAGGAACGTAAGAGACCTAGTGTTCTTTCCCAGTAACTGGGCAAAAGCCAGGAGAAGTAGTATACATCCAAAGGAGTGTATCTCTGGTTTAGAGAGAGTGACCTGAGATGCAAGTAAGTGAATGATGAGTAGTAACAGAGGCATCACAAGGGAAGAGAGGTGGAGATTGTAGGATGGCCATACTGTGTGGTCCTTGAACTTGAAATCAGAGTCAGTAGGTTTGCAAAGTTCCCAGTTGTGGCCCCTAGCTAGTAAAGCACCATTTAGTTGGTTGCTAGAAGGGTACATAGTGGGTATGAGTAGAGGGTTGGGTATGTAAAAGAATAGTTCCTATGTATGAAAGTGTTAGGAAGTGTATATTCACTTAGCAATTTATATAAACTGAGTTTTATAACTTGTAAAACTGTATGTAAGTGGCCTTAGTTCAATTTTCTTATGATAAGATAACAAAACTCTTCCAGGAGACTGGGGACTATGAGTTCTTTCTCACTCCTATCCAGTGCCTAGCAAAGCACTGAACACAAGTTCCATAGTATGTATCATAAATATCATCATATTGATTTTAAAGTGTTGGTTAACAAAAGCAAGTGTTGAGTTTTGACAGTCACACATATTTAAGAAGTAAGTAAAAAAAAATCTACTTTTAAAAAATGGTATAAGGTGTGGTTTTAGCTTCTTGGTGTTTTGACAAAACACCTGACCTGAAATGAGTTGAAAAGAAAGGGATTTTGTGTGGACTTATGGCTTTGGAGGTGCTAGGCCATTGCTTCTCCCTTCATTTTGTTTTGACTCTCAGGCTGTATTCAGGGTGGGTCTCCCCCTTTCCCCTTGGTAAACCTTCCCAGACACTCCCAGAAGCATGCCTTTCTAATCATCTGGATGTTTCTCAATCCTGCAGTTGGAAATCAAGACTAAACACAGAAGCCTAACTGATTGGCATGGCTTTTGACCAC